AGGCAGCATTAAGTGTGGCCCCAGGCGGCAGGGTGCAGCCTGTGGGCTGCCTTTCAAGGACCAGTTTGCTCCTCCTGAGAGGTTTCACAAGGACCCAGGGCACGGCGCAGTGGGTGAGGGCAGGCCCAGGCAGATAGATAGAGACTCTGAGGTTGGGAAGGGGCCTGGGTCACATGGGACAAGGGCAGTGGGGTCTGAGGTCTGAGTAGGCTTGGACACAAGGACACAAGGCAAAGGCATGTTAAGAGGGGCCAGGCTGGAGGGACTGGGGGTGGGAAGCTGGGGTGGGGGTGGGAGACTGGTAGCTTCAGTGAGAAGGAAAACCCCGGGGGTCTCCTGGTGGAACAAAGCCTGGGGGACCTTGGACCCGAGAGGGCCGGGCTTGGATGTCAGCCGCGGGGCCTCTGGATCCAGATAAAAGGGACCTCACTCCCTTCCCATCCTGGGGAGTCCACCCTGACTACACTGATGTGGTCTCATTCTAAAGTTTTGCCTGTTTTAGAATTTCCTATAAATGGAATCATACAGCACGTAGCCCTTTGAGTCTGTCTCTGTTCACTCGGCAGAAGGGTTTGGACATCCATTGTCGTGTGGCTGTATCAGCAGCTCGTGCTTTTTTATTGATGAGTAGCGTTGCATTGCATGGAGAGGTCTGTTTATCCCCTGACCTGTTGATGGACGGGGGGTCTGGCTCCAATTTGGGGCTGTAATGAATAAAGCTGCTGTGACTATTTGCCCACAGATCTCCGTAAGAACATATGTTTTCTCTTCTCTCGGATAAATGTTGAGAAACGGACTCGCTGGGTCATAAGGTGTGTGTGTGTTAAACTCTATGAGAAACGACCAAACTGTTTTCCAAAGTGGTTGGACCTTCCTGGTTCCCATCAACAGAGAGCGCAAGTCCCATCTGCTCCTCCCCGCTCCCTCATTTGCAAGCCAGGATGAACTTTTTTTTTTAATAATTTTAAAAAAAAATTTATTTTATTTATTTATTTATTTTTGACTGCGTTGGGTGTTCGTTGCTGCACACAGGCTTTCTCTAGTCGCGGCGAGTGGGCGCTACTCTTCATTGCGGTGCTTCTCTTGTTGGGCGGTGGGCTTCTTATTGCGGTGGCTTCTCTTGTTGCGGAGCACGGGCTCTAGGAATGCGGGCTTCAGCAGTTGTGGCTCACAGGCTCAGTAGTTGTGGCTCGCGGGCTCTAGAGCTCAGGCTCAGTACACCTTCTCTCATTGTCTTGAAAAAAATGATTTTGATACATGGAAAGGAATCTGTCATATACTCTTGTAAGTAGTAAACCTAATAGACAGGGATTCTGTGTTTACCATTCGTGGCCTTTTCAGAAAAGGTGTTATCCTTACATGTACGCTCATCAACATTGTGATATCCATTGTGCTTGTTTTTCAGTTTTCTTAAAAAGATAGAGTGCATGTTCTGGTCGGGGTCTTGTTTTGTTTTAGCTCACTATCCCTTTTTTTTTTTTTTTTTTTTTTTTTTGCGGTACGCGGGCCTCTCACTGTCGTGGCCTCTCCCGTTGTGGAGCACAGGCTCTGGACGCGCAGGCTCGCGGCATGTGGGATCTTCCCGGACCGGGGCACGAACCCGTGTCCCCTGCATCGGCAGGTGGACTCTCAACCACTGCGCCACCAGGGAAGCCCGCTCAGTATCCCTCTTGAAGGACTCACTCAGGGCACGGCACGCAGGAGTCCCTGCTCTGTAAAAGGTGTGCGAATACGGTGTAACTTATTTATCTCTTCTCGTATCAATGGACATTGGGACCAGCATTTTGCTACTGCATGTAAGTTGCTATGAATATTCTTGTACACGTCTCTGGATCTGTGGGTGCAAGATGTTCCCTTGGTGGATACTCCGGGATGGGGTGGCTGGGTCACAGGCCATGAGAACGTCCAGGATGAGTTCTCTTCCAACCCATTTTCACCAGCGTCCATCTCCTAAGCCCCTGTCCAACGCCAGCTGCTGTGCTGGGCGCCTCACTTCATTCTCAAAACCATGCTGTGTGGGAGGTTCTATTGTCCCCATTTTATAGACCAGGATCCTATAGCTCCGAGGGAATGAGTCACTCGCTCAAGGCCACGCAGCTAGTAAATGGCTGGGCCAGAACCAAACCCGGATCCCACGGCGTGGGACAAACTCTTTGATCTCAAGACCCCTCTGCCGCCCCCACCCCACACCTAGCTTTCTGGGGTGTGTCTCTGGGATGGTAGAGGCTGCCTGGACGGAGGCTGGCCCGTGATCAGTGCCTCCATGGGGAGGCTGGTCCCCCATCACGACCTGCGGGCCCGATGCCTCCACACGGGGGGAGATTCCCAGCCCCTGCCTTGTTCATGTTTTACTTTCTCTTAAGTGGCCATGAGAGATGCCATTTCCCGTTACAAAATCTGGCTCCATCCAACCGTTACGGCAAATGGTCCGTCAGCTCAGCTCAGCCCATCCACAGGCAGCAAGAGGAATGAATCAGGGGGAGGGAGTGAGCAGGGACTTTTTTTTTTCTTCCTGGGGTTAAACATCCCAGTTTGAGGTAAAACAAATTCCTCGCTGGAGCTGATCACCTCCAGCTGGGCCGCAGGAAGCCTCATTTAAGCAGGTCATTTAGCCCTGACTCACGCTGACAAGATGACTGGGCTGGGCTGGCTCTACCCTCGCCGAAGGCCAGTCTCTGGGGGATGAGGATGGTCTGGCAGGAGGGCTACTGGCAGGCTCTGGAGGGCAGGGGATGGGCTGGAGGAAGCCCAGCCTCCTCGGGTCATCTGAGGACCTGGGGTGGGGTTGCTGTCCTCAGTTCTTCGGGGTCTGCATTGAAGGCAGGAAGGAATTCTCCTTGGGCCTGGGCTTGGGGCCCACAGCAAGCCGGTGGGATAAAAATAAAACCAGGAGAGGCCATGATGGACCTGAGAACCTTTGGAAGCACTGCCCTGCCCCCAGGAAGAAGGAGGACACCAGTCCCACAGAGATGGGGCACCTGAGGACATAGGATTGGCTGTTCATGACAATTCTGCCAGCATCGTCCAGTTTGAGAAGCCTGGCAGTCCCCAAGCCCTTCTGCTCCAGCTCCAATCCCTCCACCCACATTGCAAATTCAGTCTTCTGCAGGGGACCTCTTGTCCCTGGGGATTCCTCAATTTCAGAAAGGGGAGGAAAGAAAGCAGTGGGCGGTGGGGGGAAGGAGATGAATGGAGGGAAGGAGAGAAAGAGAGAGAGAGCCTTCTGTGTGGGCAACACGACCACCTACCTGGGTGTTATAATTTGAAGAATCAGGAAGACTCTGCCCCAAATAGGTCTCTGTCACAGAGCTTCACCTTCCCTGATATTTCCAGCAAGGCCACTGAGAGACCTAGCTTAAAATGTCAGAGTAATATCTGAGAAGAGCAATGCATTAATTCACTGGCACCCATGAACACCATAGCGAGAATTAGAGGTCCAGGTAGCCCCGCCACTCAGCTGAGACTCAGAAGGACTGGGGCACCAGGTGGAGAAGCTGTGCCAGGAGGCCAGCTGGTGTCAGCCATGAAACCCTTTCTGGTGGACACCTATTTATCTATGAATGACCACTGTTTCCCAAGGAACTCAGCCTGGAAGATCCTAGTGGAAGAAATGGTCAAGACTTTGCCCCGAGCCATGGTGACAGCAGTGCCTGTCTCAGTACTCCCCACGGAGGACCTGGCTGTTCTCTCCTCCCATGTGGTTTTGCTCTTCGACTTGGTTCAGCTAGATAATGCTCGTCCCTTCCCATCCCCGCTGTGTTTGCCTCAGGCGTTCCGTCCTCCCATCTCAGTAAAGCTCCCCCGATTCCCACCCTGCCCTTCTGGCTGGAGACAAGCTCTCCAAGCACTGGGTGGATGCCCCCGCTGAGCGGCCGAGTGATCTAGGGACGTTTCTCATCCACCAGAGCCACGCTTTCCAGTGACTCCTCGCCGGTCCTCACCCCTGGCATCATTGGATGACATGAGTGGGTACATCCTGTGTGCCAGGCGTCAGCCAAGCCTTCAAGGCATTCGTTCATTTAATTCTTTTTTTTTGTTTTTTTGTGCGGTACGCGGGTCTCTCACCGTCGTGGCCTCTCCTGTTGCAAAGCACAGGCTCTGGACGCGCAGGCTCAGCAGCCATGGCTCACGGGCCCAGCTGCTCCGCGGCATGTGGGATCTTCCCGGACCAGGGCACGAACCCGTGTCCCCTGCATCAGCAGGCGGACTCTCAACCACTGCGCCACCAGGGAAGCCCAGTTCATTTAATTCTGTCGACACCTCTCTGCAGGGTGCGCTACGATCATGCCATTTTACAGATGAGGACACCAAGCTCCCCCCATTCTTCTGGCCCAGCACCAGCTTTGGATTCCTCCTTACAATAGATCCCTGTGCCTTAGCCCACCCCCTACCTGTGCCTGGAGGGCTTGAGCAGCCTTGACTGCTCTCTGCCTGGTACCCCCAGTGGGGGCCTGGCTGGATTTAGGCCAGGAGGTCTGGGGGCTCAAGGGTAGTTTTTTTTTTTTTTTTGTGGTACGCGGGCCCTCTCACTGTCGTGGCCTCTCCCGTTGCAGCGCACAGGCTCCGGACGTGCAGTCCCAGCGGCCATGGCTCACGGGCCCAGCCGCTCCACGGCATGTGGGATCTTCCCGGACCGGGGCACGAACCTGCGTCCCCTGCATCGGCAGGCGGACTCTCAACCACTGCGCCACCAGGGAAGCCCTCAAGGGTAGTCTTGTGTTTGCATTTGGCCTCTGGCCAGTCCTCTTGCCCTTTCACTAGGAGACAAAAGTTTTTGCTGTCTGTTTATTGTTTTTTTGTTTAAAGATCCTGCTTTTCCTTCCAAGTTTTCTATTTCTTCTGTTTGCAACTCAACAGAAAAGAGAATAAAACTCAGGGTAGCACACAAGCTACTTCGGAGATGTGCTAGAGGGGCCTCGCACAGATGAGTCACTTCACATCGGTAGCTTGAAATCGGCCATGGCGGGAGTATTTACAGTATGGGCATTGGCAAATGTTACAGATCAGGGATTTTTTTTGTCTCCAAGGAGAGCTGGCTGTTAAACATGAACCAGTACACACTGGGGGGACCCTGTGGAAGCTCTTTTCCAGTTAGCATCGTGGCCGCTTTGGGAGGGTGCCCTAGGCTCTCGTTCCTCCTTTCCTGCCTCTGCACAGAGCCTGCGTCAGGCGGCCACACCCCTGAAGGTTGGTACTTAACTGTCCACATGGTCTGCACTGCTTCAACTTGGCTTGAGATTACTCAACTCCCAGCCAACACCGGAACTTATTTAAACAATAAATACTTGCAAACTGAACAAAACAAGCTTCCCACACAGAGCCGAGTAACGCGACTGCTTTACACAGTGAGTGGGGACACAGCCTAATCAGCGTCGCTCATTACAAAGTGCAGTCCCGTGGGGCGTTCACCTGTTCCTGTCCCTGGGCCCACCTTCCCGGAAGTCAGAGGCTCCAGGGGTTCCTAGAGGCGTGAGTGTTTGGTACGGGGACCCCGTGCTCAGAACCCCTCGGGCAGGAGTCAGGCCCAGCTGTATGGAGCGATGCTGCGGACTCTTCATTGACACAGTTGCAGAGAAGATTCAGGATATAAATTTGAAGAAGGATTAACCATTCCCAGAACAAATAGCCCTCGCCCGCTCTCCTCTTCATACACAAACCCCACTGCGTATCCAAGTGCAAACAGGTAGGATGCCTGCCCGTTCCTCTCTTTCCTCTCCCCCTCCCTCTTCCTGGCAAGGCTTCTTCTTTTTTTTTTTTTTCTTTTTGGCTGCGTTGGGTCTTCGTTGCTGCGCGCAGGTTTTCTCTAGTTGCAGCGAATGGGGGCTACTCCATTGTGGTGCACGGGCTTCTCTTTGCGGTGGCTTCTCTTCTTGCGGAGCACAGGCTCTAGGCACACGGGCTTCAGTAGTTGTGGCTCCACAGTAGTTGTGGTTGTCCCCGTCAACCAGTCTTGCACCAACAGAGTCCAGAGTTGGTGGGTCTTGGCTGGCAGGGAAGGTAGCCCACGAGTTGTGGGACCAGGTACGTAGGTCCACCTGCTAGAGTAGGTAGTGGCTAGGTGAGGCCCTCGTCAGTTTTCTGTCTGTTCCTTCAGCTGGTGAGAGGAAAACTTGGCCCCATCCTCCTTGACCCAGCATCAGCAGAGTCTGAAAGCTGAGAACGGGGCAGGGATGCACCCCAGTTGCCCCCACTGGCCTCCCCTCTTTCCACAGACAAGTCACAGAGATTATGGAATTAGCATCTTGATCCTGATCTGGGGTCTGTCAGAATATTCAGATGCATGAAAAAGACAGAAGGAAGAGAAATCATGCTGGTTCCATCCTGTGAAAGGCCAGGAAGAGTCCTTCAAACCCTGGACACTTGGGAGCTTCAGAAATGTGCACTTGGAGGGAATCAGGGTCCCCCATGAATAGAAAGGGTACATATTCACCTGTCTTCCAGGGTCAGGCAGGTACAGGGGGCTGGGTCTGGGGTCACCTGGAGAATGCTGGGTCCAGAGGCAGAGACTGCTCAGGTCCAGGTTATTGCTGGCACAGGGGAGAGAGCCTGGGGTCACCCAGAGCAGCTGGTTTCTCTAGAGGAGCCAGACATACAAGCTGGATTTTTGCGTGAAAGTATATGATTTTAGGTGTTGGCACCCCAAATTTTAAATTAAAAAGCACAGTATGAACAAAACAACGCCTACTGTGGGCTGGCTTCTCCGTCCACGCCCCAGTTTACAGTTCCTGCTGAAAACCTCCAGGGGCTGGTGGGGTGGTGGGAGAGGAGGGGCGGAGGGCCAGTCTCCTGTCTTCCTGCTTTCAGTTTTCATAAATTTATTTATTTATTTTTAAAATTTTTGGTTGTATTGGGTCTTCGTTGCTGTGCGCGGGCTTTCTCTAATTGCGGTGAGCGGGGGCTACTCTTCATTGTGGTGCGCAGGCTTCTCATTGTCGTGGCTTCTCTTGTTGCGGAGCACGGGCTCTAGGCGTGGAGGCCTCAGTAGTTGTGGCACGTGGGCTCAGTAGTTGTGGCTCGCGGGCTCTAGAGCACAGGCTCAGTAGTTGTGGCGCACGGGCTTAGTTGCTCTGCAGCATGTGGGATCTTCCTGGACCAGGGCTCGAACCCGTGTCCCTTGCGTTGGCAGGTGGATGCTTAACCACTACACCGCCAGGGAAGCCCTGCTTTCAGTTTTGAAAGCCATGTTTCTTCCAGGGGCTGTTGCCTTTCAAGGTAATTTGATTTTGCTTTTCTCTAGCTGCCTTTGAGCCTCTGAGGTTGCAAGGCATAGCTACTGTTTTATTTGCAGCCTCTGATGATGGGAGAAGGATTTTAAAAGCTGCAACCCTGTCAAGTCAGTTTCCGTGGTCTCCAGGGGAGTGGAGAACACTGCATGGGGACAGAGAGGCCCCCAAATGTTCTTGGGCCTCCTTGGGTTGGAATGACCTACTCCCATTGGCTGACACTGGGCTGCCAAAGCTAGGAACTAACTCTCTCTGTTGGCTGCTGTCACATACCCATCCATCCATCCTCCATCCATCCAACCATCCCCCATCCATCCATCCGTCCATCCATCCACGTGTACGCGCATGCCCCTGTCCTCAGAAATAGCGTTCCTGCTCCCGCGACTATAACGTTTGCAGCCAGTGGGCAGCAAGTGGGGAGGACAAGTGGAGGCCAAGAAATGTAATCCACCTCCCGGGATAGTGGGCAGCAAAGAAGACTTCACTGAGCAGATAACATATGTGCTGGGGTTTGAAGTTTTTGCAGTTTTTGGCTAGACAAAAGGCGGGAATTGTATTTATGGAGGACAGAACAGCATGAGAGAAAGGCGGCAGCCCCATTCAGATCCCAGTGCTGACTCGGGGCAAAGAAATCAGTGGAAAGCAGAGGGGCATCCTTCCCACTCCCCTGGACACACCGTGAGAGCACCTGGCGTGTTTTGCCTTTGGTGCAGAGTATGTCCCTGCGGGTGGTGAGTGGAGTGGGTGATGGAAGGTTACTGATGTCAGCAATGGATGGACGGTGGGAGGATGAGCTCCCTCAAAGAGGGTTATAAAAAACTTTTTATCATGATTATTGCTGGTAGAGGTATCCCTTTCAACTTGAACTGAAGCTTTGCATTCCTTCCAGCCAAATGCCCAGGGCAATTTCTGATGCTCACAACATTTTGAGGTAAATATACATGTCAGATGAGTAAACCGATGCTCAGAGAGGTTTAGTAACTAGTCCCAAACCACACAGGTCTCTTGGTTCCCAAAGCGGTGCTGTTCGCTCATCCAATGGGGCGGAATGCTCAGCACATCCCACCCACTCTCAAGGTCTGCCCAGGCATTATTGCACAACACCAGCAGACTTGGGAAATCCACAATGCTTCTTTTTTTTTTTTTTTTTGGGTACGCGGGCCTCTCACTGCTGTGGCCTCTCCCGTTGCGGAGCACAGGCTCCGGACGCGCAGGCTCAGCGGCCATGGCTCACGGGCCCAGCCGCTCCTTGGCATGTGGGATCTTCCCGGACCGGGGCACGAACCCGTGTCCCCTGCATCGGCAGGCGGACTCTCAACCACTGCGCCACCAGGGAAGCCCCACAATGCTTCTTAAAACTGTGCATTGCAAAGCTCTTACCTGTTTTCCATTTTTGCTGCTGGGTTCCTTTCGCATGTAATTATTTTGCCAAGGTGACGTTAACGACATGTCCCCTCCACTTACACCGATCATCTGTATTGCTGGGCAAACGCAGGTTCCTTCTGAATTTTGTTGCTTTTCTTCTCCGAAGGTCTCTCCATCATCAGCAAATCCCTGTTCTGCTCATTATTTACGGTGCCTGAGCCCCTGCTCACCTGTGCTTACTGAGGGCCCTGGCAGATCCAATTTGCAAGCCCAGGAGGCTGTGGCTGTTTCCATGTAAATTAGGAGGGAGGGGGAGGGGGAGGGGGAGGGGAGGAGCTGGTTGTTCTTAAGTTGTCCTGCCGCATCCGTTAGACCCTTTTCTGTGCCTTCCTCAAACCCATGGAATATGGCACCCCTGTGTCATCTAGGCTCCCCAGAGATGAAACAATGAGCTAGAGTTGAAAACTTAAGGAAGTTTCTGGAAAAGGTAGAAACCAGGTCTCCGGTTGGCTGTTCCCTGGGTGTGAACTGTGGGAGGTGGAAGGGGGGTAGCCCTCGGAAACCTCTATGCACAGGAATTCCCTGCGTGATGCCGCCGGCATCTGTGTACAGAGGTGCTCCCCAAAGGGCTAAAGGGTAGGACTGGAGGGGATTTTAACTTTCTTCTTCATGCTTTTCTATAAGCTCTACATTTTCTGCCACTACATGTGTTGCTCTCATCAGAGAAGAAAAGGATGATGGATGTCTTAAAACACACAGAACCTACAGCGCAGCCCCCTCTGTGGCTGGGTGTGGTGGGCAGAGTGAGCGCCCCCCGACCTTCACTGGGGCTCACGGACCTCCCGTCCTGACTCGAGTCATCTGGGATGAAGGTTGCAGGGTGGAACACCGGTTCCTCGCCCACACATTAACTGACTTGTTTCAAAGGGAAATTGGGGCTCAATGAGGATACATCTGAAGGTCTGGGTCGCAGGAGAAAAGCGCCACGAGGTCCTCCCACGAACCATCTCTGGACAAATAGCACTTATATAAATGTTTATCCGAGAAGTGTCTCCCTCATGCACGAGTGGGCCATTGAGGGGAATCAGGGCTGCTTAGGGACAGAGCCCTAACCTTTTAAGGAAAACGTCACGCTTTCCCACAAAGCATCCGGGTGTGATAGAAAGAACCAGAATACTTAGGGTGTTTTTGACTGCCCTTCCCAGCCTCCTGCCAGTCTGAATATCTGCTATAGCCTCCACTCTTGTCCCTGCTCCCTGCCTGGGGCTCGCATCCCTCAGGGCTAAAGGCTTCTCCTGCTTCCTGGCTGCACAGACAGCTCCTGACCCATCCCAGATGCCACACTGCCCGGCAGAGCTGGCATCCTTCATTTCGTGATGTGGTCATGTCACTGTCCACCTTCTCTGACATCCTGGAGCGTGCCGTCTTCCTGTACCACTTGTACCTTGAGTCACGAGGCTTCTGACGTTGAAGCCTGCGTGTGGAGCCCCTCCCCTCCCATAAGTGAGGCGTTAGGACCAGTTGTTCCGTTCCAGTGGGGCGACATGAGGATGTTGAGGGGTGCCTGGCCAAGGGGGGGAACAGTAATAGGACCACACAAGATAATAAACCGTGGAGAGTACACCTGTCTCCCTCAGATGCCCTCCACTTTCTTATATGGAAGTAAAATTCACGTAAGAGAAAATTAACCATTTTAAAATATACAATTCAGTGGCATTTCGTACATTCACAGTGTTGCAAATCCATCGCCTCTATCTAGTTCCAAAACATTTCCATCTCCCCGGAGAGAGACCCTGTGAGAGACCCTGAGAGAGACCCATTAGCGGCCATTCTCTACCCACCCCCTCCCCCCAGCCCTTGCAAACTGAACCTGCTTTTTCTGTCTCTATGGAGTTGCCTATTCCGGGCACGCCATATAAATGGAACCGTTCAGTATGTGACCTTTTGTCACATGCCGGCTCCTTTCATTCTGCATAATACAACCCCTTCATCCTACGGACGGGAAGGCTGAGGCCCAGCCGGGTGGGGTGCCCCATCCGAGCTCACACAGCAGACCTTCCCAAGGACAAGAGGACACGGAGCCGGCATTGGCCGCCACGAGGTGGAAACGAAGCAGAGTGGATCGCGTGTCACCTAGAACTTGAGAGCGAGACACGTACTGCCGAAGCCCAAAGCAGCGACGGGATGTCAAACATCTCATTCAAGGAACCAGTGTTGGGCATCTGCCGGATGCACAGCCTCTTTCTTGGAGCTTCCAGGCTGGTTGGTCCCAAGCAGAGGCTTTGGTGGAAGATAGATGTGAGTCCGGATGCCCCTTTCCCGCTTGTTATCCGTGGATCCTAGACACGCCCTGTCGGCTCTCGAAGCTGACCTCCTCACTGCTTCAGTGTCTGCACCCACAGAGCCTGCGTTAAGGGCGGTGGCGAGGGTTAAATGGGGCAATACTGGGAAGTCGACAAATGTCAGCCGTTAGTCTTGTTTTATCATCACGTTGTTATTGCACAAGGAGGAAGCTGCTTCCTTTGGGTGTCTCCGTCCCATTGGTGAGTTAGCCACACAGGAGAGCCAGGCACCTGTTCAGAAAAGGTGAGGTGCCCTCCCACCAGCTTTGGAGAAAGCGGCAGTGGAGGGCCTTCCCGTCTTGGAGGCTGGGGTGGAGGGTGGAGTGGGAAAGGTGTGTTTGTCCAAGAAGGGACAGAGGAAGGCCAGGCTGGCCTCATTTGTGTCCCTGACCCCCTAGTCTCCCAGGGTGGCCCCTGTAAGCCACCCCGGATTACCTGTCTCCTGCCATCCCTTCTCCTGACGAGAACACCCACCTTCCTCTGTGAGGAGAACACCCACCTTCCTCTGGAGAGATAGTTCTCCGACACGACACGGAGGACTCCGTACACATGACAATTACCGGTTAAAAATGTCTCTGTCTAGGGACAAGGCGGAAATAAAGACACAGACCTACTAGAGAATGGACTTGAGGATTCAGGGATGGGGAAGGGTAAGCTGGGACAAAGTGAGAGAGTGGCGTGGACATATATACACTGCCAAATGTAAAATAGATAGCTAGTGGGAAGCAGCCGCATAGCCCAGGGAGATCAGCTCAGTGCTTTGTGACCACCTAGAGGGGTGGGATAAAGATGGGTGGAGGCAGATGCAAGAGGGAAGGGATATGGGGACATATGTATATGTATAACTGATTTACTTTGTTATAAAGCAGAAACTAACACACCATTGTAAAGCAATTATACTCCAATAAAGATGTTAAAAATAAATAAATAAATAAATAAATAAATACTTGTTATAAAAAAAAAAAAAAAAAAAATGTCTCTGTCTGCTCCAGGCCTGCATGTGGTGTAAATCATGTGGGTAGCCACGAAGCCAGCTGCAGTCAGCACTCCCCTCCCCACGCTGCCCAGAGCTCCCAGTGCGCTGGGGCTTCATCTCAGCCACACAGAGAGAGGGGAGCCCTGCCTGTTTGGAGCAGCTAGAATAGCCTAATTTTATTTATCTTTAATCAACCCCTTCAGTGTGTTCCCTCTAGTCAAAGGCAGAGCTGGAGTGCCACGCAGGCACATTATTTGTATTTGGCTTTTATTTACCCAGGGAGGTTGCAGTATCTCGTTTGCAGAGACACCCCAGTGGTACCACTCCATCACCCAGAGCCCTGTATACGCTTGGCACAGGCAGTGCAAGGGGAGGGCAGGGCAGGGCGGCCCCTCGGCCATCAGTACCGGCTGCCTCTCCAGCTCGAAGGCTGGAAAAATACCAGCCATCCTCATTCCCTCCAGCCTGCCGGGAGATGCCGGGAGCCCGCAGAGAAGAGCGGACCCACCTCCCCGACACGCCGGTCTCCTCCGCGCAGCCTCTCCTGGCCACCCAGCTCCTGTGTCTCCGTCCCCGCAGACAGGCACGGATGGCCCTCCCCGTGGCCTGGCGGTGCTTCGCTGCTCCTGCCTGCAGGACTTCCCTGCAAAGGGGCTTGCTGTCCCTTCTTGCGGTGTCCAGGGCCCCACCACCCCCGACGCTGGGTCCGGCTTCCGGCGGGCACTGAGGGCTTCACCTCCCCCGCCTCCCGCCCCCATCACCTCTGTCTGCCACCTTGTGTTCAGCCTCCCACCTGGGACCCTGGATGACACTGCTCCTTGGCCAAGCTTTTTCCTTCTGTTTTCTGGGGAGGCCTAGGGTGATGGTTTCAGGGTCCAGGCAGTGGAGATGGTTTGTGATTTCCACACTGCAAACCGCCAACAGCCAGAAGGGTCCGCAGCCAGCGTGGCCCGTCTGCCCCACTCTGTCTGCGTGGGGATGCGGGAGTCTGGGAGAGCAGGGAAGAGGATGCAGGAGAATTTGAATTCACTGTGGCCCTGCGGGAGTGGAGGGAGAGGTGGCTGGTTGGAGCCCAGGTGGAGCTGAGCCTGTCCTTTCCGTCCTTCTGCTCAGTAAAGTGACAAGATCCAATATTCATTAGTGCCTCCTGAAATGGGCGGAGTGGTCACCTCCACCCCGCCAGCAGTTATTTACATAATAACCTGACCTTAGGTTACCTTTCATTAACAAACACATGTGAAAACACAGAAGCAGGCGGCAACATCTCATAAATCTATATTGTTCACCCCGGTGTAGACGGCTTACTTTCACTTACTCGAAAAAGAGGGGGCCCTCTGCTTTGTGTAGCCATCAGGGGAGGGAGGCCCCATGGAGGAGGTGGCAGCCTCTAGAGTGTGCACTCACCCGAGAGGACGGTCTCTTCCGGTCTCTTCCTTTGAGTGCCGAGTTCAACCTTCAATTACTTTGCTTACCTGTGTTCTCGGCTTCCCCCTCCTTACTCTCTCCGGGCGTCTGGAGGTCTGAGAGCCAGGAATGGGGGATCCTGCCAGTGCTTGCTGGCAGGATCACCCTCCCTCCCCGGCCGGGGATGCTCACACGCAGTTATGAAATGATACACTATGGTCCTCCAAGAATTACGGGCAGAGGGCCACACGGGTCCCATCTGTCTTCTTACTTTTGGAGGTGCCCCTTCTTCTCTCCGGTGTCTTTGTTCAGTGGGACAGGGAGGGGTTCTGGGGAATTCTGCCTGTTCTGAGCCGTTGAGGTCCCTGAGTGGTATGGGGTGGGACACACCGTCTCTGTTTATCTGCTTGGGACTTGGCGGTGTCCCAGGTAGTGGGGTGGGGGGCACCGAGATGATGAGGCCTGGCCTGGGACGAGTGAAATTCTGGGAGGACAGAGCTAAGGAAGGGCTGGTGCCGAAGCTGGGGAGCACTGGACCTCCCTCTCCCCTTCCAGCCTCGTAGCACCTTTCCTTGCAAAGTGTGAATTTACTCACAGGCCCCTGGGTAGCATCTTACAGGCTCAGGGCTGAAGTGTGGACACAAGATGACACTGAAGTCCTGCTAAAAAGGTCCTCTGGGGCTGTAAGGCACCTCCCTAAATGGGCTGGACCCAAGGGCTGGCCCTGGACACCCAGATCCCCAACTTCCCAGCATCCACTCATTTCTTGACCGATGTTTTGAATCCGAAGACCACACTTGGAATGACTGTACTGACCATACTCACAGATTGACGTCCAAAGCCCAAGGACCAATTTCTTCATTTATCATTAGAAGAAGGAGGATTGGGCAAACCATACTGCTTGAACCAGCAGACCTGGGCTCTTTCCCTGGAGGCCAACTTTATGGCCAGTTGGCTAGAACGGCTAACATGAATTAAGCACTACCGTAGGCCATGTGTATTAGTTATCTATTGCTGTGTAACAAATTACTCCAAACCTCAGTGGCTTAAAATAACAAATGTTTATTATCTCACACAGTTTCTGGGGGTCAGGAATCTGAGAGCAGCTTAGCTGAGTGGTCCTGGCCTGGGGTTTTTCATGAGGTTGTGGTTAAGATGTCAGCCAAGGCTGCAGTCATCGAAAGCTTTAACGGGGGCAGAAGGAGCTGCTCCTAAGATCACACAGCTGTTGGTTGAAGGCCTCAGTTCCTGTGGACCTCTCCACAGGGCTGCTTGAGTGTCCTCACAACCTGGTGGCCAACTTCCCCCAGAGTGAGTGATTCAAGAAGAGGACGAGGAGGAAGACACAATCTTTTTTATCAATTTATTTATTTTTGGCTGCATTGGGTCTTCGTTGCTGCGCGTGGGCTTTTCTTTAGTTGCGGCGAGTGGGGGCTACTCTTCGTTGCAGTGCACGGGCTTCTCACTGCGGTGGCTTCTCTTGTTGCGGAGCACGGGCTCTAGGTGTGTGGGTTACCTGCAGAGCTGAGATTTGGAATCACATAGTGTCAACTTGCACTGCCCGATAGCACTTTCTACAGTGATGGAATTGTTCTACATCTGTGCTGTCCACCATGGTAGCCACTAGCCACACGTGATTATTGAATACTTGAAATGTAGCTAGGGTCAATGTCCTCCAGCTAAAGACCACCAGGAATATACTTGCAGCTGAACAAATTGGATTTATTACTTGCTGCAGAGAGAGATCACACACCCTGGGGAATCATGAGACGACTGAGTGCAGGACATTAGGAAGAATCTATTATAGGATACGGTCTACTACGGTTGGGTGATTTGGGGGAAGGTCTAAGGAATCATCTCATCCTCATAACGACTCACCGGAAGCATTTTTCTCATTTTACAAACCAAGGCTCTGCACGGTTACGCGATTTGTCTCTGACATGACCGACCGTTCTTCTCCAGCCTGTGTGGACCCTGCTCAAGGAGGAAGAATAGAAAGGACCTTGCCCTTGAGTTGCTTACAGCCACTCTGTTCAGGGAATAATCTTTGGGCAAAGGAAATTCCTGCCCAGTGCCACTCAGAGGCAGGTGTGGGTGTGGCCTGCTCTGGCGCCAGGTGAGTCCCAGCCCCTGGCTCTGTTCCAGGCCCTCCAAGGAAAGGAGAGGGTGTGGCTGGAAGATGCCTGCAGCAACCTTCGGCTCCACAGGCTAGTTTGGAGCTTGGAAGCCACGTGCCTGAATCTGAATCCTAATGATGTTTCTGTGCCACGGGCTGACGTTAACAGTGCCTGCCACCACCTATGCCCACACAGCACTCCCCACGCCATCAAGGGGACTCAGTATTTGACATTAATCCCCCCGAAGCCTTTTGAGCTATTCACTCAGTTATTTCCAAACCAATTACGGGCTCAGAGTTTGCAAAGTGGATTGACACTCGGGTTTTCCGGTAGGGACCCCCTCAGCACCAATCTGAGGATGTGGTGATTTAGCAAAGAGAGAAAGGATATAATTTTTTAGCCCCGGGGGAGGCTGGAGGCGATCGCAAATATCCCTTGAGCAGAGTCAGATTCTCTGGTTTAAAGAGGCAGCATCCTCCCTGCCGTAATCGGGCTTCAGGGCCCCTTTAATTTTTATTTTTTAATTTTTTTAAGATGTTGGGGGTAGGAGTTTTTATTAATTAATTAATTTATTTTTGCTGTGTTGGGTCTTCGTTTCTGTGCGAGGGCTTTCTCCAGTTGCGGCAAGCGGGGGCCACTCTTCATCGCGGTGCTCGGGCCTCTCACTATCGCGGCCTCTCTTGTTGCAGAGCACAGGCTCCAGACGCTCAGGCTCAGTAGTTGTGGTTCACGGGCCTAGTTGCTCCGCGGCATGCGGGATCTTCCCAGACCAGGGCTCGAACCCGTGTCCCCTGCATTGGCAGGCAGATTCTCAACCACTGCGCCACCAGGGAAGCCCAGGGCCCCTTTAATTTCAAGGGGGGCAGGCGGAGGAGGTTGGAGGCATCACCAGGTTATGGGGCTGTTTCCTCCTAGGAGCCAGCCCAGGGCCTCCGTTTAATTGGAATAAACTGGGGCAGGTCTCTTATCTGGGCCACTGCTTCCCGGAAGCTGCAAGTGATTTGCAGCTCTGAGATGATCCACTGGTCAACACGGCCAGAGGGGATGGAGAGACAGATACCACCTGTTCCTTCTGGGGCCCTGGCTGCCCAGTTGACCTTCTATCCTGGTCTGGTTTCTGGGCGTGTCCCGATCTCCTCTGCTGGAACCTCCCTGGGCTGCCCAAGGTGGGCAAGACCAAACGGGCTAAGTTTCCTAATCCTTTTCTGTGTCCCCAGGTGGGACCTCCAGCAGCAGTCCCGCAACACAGCCCCTATCTCACCGCTCCAAAGCCCTGGGCCCAGAGACCCCCCTCCCTATGGGGAGTGAAGATGGTCCAGAGCCTGTAGTTGAGGGGGGAGACCCGTCTCTCTGTGGCCTCACCTCTCTCTGTCTCACCCATGGGGGCCTCTGCAGCGGGCTAGGGGTGGGGCTGTAAGTTAGCCTTACTCGGTTGCCCACGTTCACATCAGTTCGGGTAAACAGAGGAGCCTGCTCACTGGTCAGGAGCATTTAAGTCCCAGCTCTGTTATCTAGAAGAGCAGGTGTACCCACTGGCCTTTCGTGGCTCCAGCTTGCCTCCTGGAGCTCCTGCCCTGCTGCTTTCGTGAAGAAGCGCCTGGCAGGTGGGTTATGCCCCGGGGTGGGGAGAAGAGATGCATCGGAGTGAGGTGGCATGCTGCTAAATGCCCCCAACTGGCTCTCCAGAAACACGCAAGCCCCAGGGGTGGTGTCTGCCAGTTTCCGCGGTGTAAATGCTGTCCCCACCGCCAATTTCAAGCTGCCATCGTGATGTCACTAAACATGGAACCGGAAAGAGACGTCCAGAATCGGCTCTCGCAGGTCTGTGCGAGCAGCTGCAACACACTGGTGGGTCCAAGAGCGATGTACGGTCCTGAAACCCTGCTCCAGAACCCACCACAACTTCTCTAGGCGCCCCCTCCCTGGCGCACAAGGGGCGTTTGTTCCTCTGCCTGGTGCCTTTGGGGCCAAGTTGTGCTGGGTCCGTCAGTCGGCGAGGCCTGAGCAGGGGCTGGGGGCAAAGGTGAGCCCAGGATCGGAACAGAGCCAGCATGGCCCAGGCCGTCCTAAAGCATCACATCCCACCCCTGCACAGAACCTCTGTCCAAAGCAAGAGTGAGATTCCTAGAAGTTTCCCTAAAATAAAAGAGGAGGGGAGCTGGGAATTATCCTACCTGAGGATCAATAAGGCCTAATGAGAGAGCAGATTTCAAAGCAGAGGCAATTAGCCAGAAAGCCACTCTGATGGGGGATCTGATTTCTTTGCTTATTCCCAAATCCCCTGGCTTTAGGGAACCTCAAAGCATAGGAGGCAAAGGAAAATGAAAATAAATCCTGTCTCTTTCAATAAAGCACAAAGGCCTTTCCTCTTTTGGCAGGAGCTGTGCCTGCGTTTCCCAGACGGCAGACGCCCGCATGAGGTCTGGAGAGGCTGAGGGGGCTGGGAGGGAGGGGGGGCCCAGCTTCATATCCCAGACGTCGCAGCGGGAACAAGGACCCTTGATAAACACCCTTGCCACGCTGAGCGATCCGACCTGGAAGATGCCGTCATGTATTTTTCATCTGCCTCTTCCTCGCTGAATAATGAAAGGGGAAAATCGTAAGGTTTGACCGGGATTTACAAGGAAGCTCTGAAGGAGGCTTGACCGGAGGAAAATGAGCTCAAGGGCTCATCGCGGTTAAACTCCTGGCTGCTGCCTCCCGCCCCTCCCAGAGAGGCTCCTTTCACCTCCAGCTGGCAGGCCCACCTTTCCCGACACAGCCTAGCCCAGCCCTTACTCCAAGGGGCTCCAGGAAAGGGTGCATTTCTCTCTGAGACACAAAAACTCCAGGTTCCGACCAGAACCAGCTGGTGGAAGAGGGATGACATAAAGGCAGCTGGATAGAGGCTGGGGGTGGACACCGGGCCTTTGCCATTTTCCATGGTGTAAATATCCCCACCGCCAACGTGATATGACTGAACACGGCGTTGGATGTGCAGAATCAGCTCTTGCAAGGTGTAATCTTGGGGGTGGGCGGCTGGGATGATCAAGTTCTCCAAGGAGGGAGGGCAAGGGCAGAGAAAGAGGGGAAGGGGTTTTGTGGGCCGGGGGCAGAGAGCTGCCTGGGAGCCAAGGGGTGGGAGGGGGTCTTTACTATGGCTGCATAGTAACCGTGAGACCTGGGCAAGTAATTTAACCTTTGGAAGCTGCTAGTTGCCTGTCTTAACACTGGAGAGAACAGCCGTCACCCACTTATTTCACAAAGCTGTTGGGAGGCTGGGACGTGTCTGCCATCACTTTGCAAAACTGCAGAGTTACCCCCGTAAAGGTATTATGATCACAAGCTAAAAGGAGAGACGAATACTCAGTTTTCCTGACTGCACTGTAACATGAAGAGAGAACGATTTATATACCCACTCACGAGTAAAAATAATAACATAATAGAGAGCATTTTTGGGTAAAGCACACAAGCGAGAAGTGAAGGCTGCGTTGGAGCCAGACCGCCACGCCTCTTAACAGGAAATGCTGGGTCCTTGGTGGTAGTCAGGCGAAGTGCAGGCAGAGGCCTTGAAGGGAATCTCCTTCCAACGGACTAGCCTCGGACACAGCACCCCCAGCTGAACATTTCCCGCGACTGCATTCGCTCATGCACTCGGAGAACTTTTCCTGAGCGATGACCCCGCGCTGGTCTCAAACAGAGATGTACTGCATGCCTGCCCTAGGAGACTCTGTGGTGTGGGTGGGAGATGGTCACATGAACGCAGAATGTGCGAATGGATGAGCGGGGCCCCGATAAAGGCCTGGGCCGAGGGCCCAGTGAGTGGGAGGGGCTCCCCTCAGTCAGTCGGTTCCGGGGGTGCCCACCCCAGTCCGTGGCACACAGCAGCCCCTCGATAAAAGCTGGCTGATGAGGAGATGGGCCGCAGAGACGTACGTGTAGAAAGGACCTCTGAGCTGGATTCAGGGGTCTTGGCCTTGAGTTGGGTCTGTAGACCTTCAGGGGCTTGTGGATGAACTTTGGGGAGGTCTGAGGCCCCCTAAGGTTACACATGAAGTGCTGTGTGTGGCCCTCTTCTGGTCTGTGGTGTTCATCACATTTTCACAGTGGTCCGTGATGCAAACAGGGTTCCGATGGGTGGGAAGGCGATGAGTTTGCTAAACAGAAATCTTGGCTAAGGGCACAGGCAGGGGGCGAGCACAGTCCACGTGTCGGGGTGCCGTGTGGACAGAGGCCAGTGCCAAGGGGCCAGTGACAGGCAAGGTCTGAGCAGATTCAAGGGCATTTGGGTCTGGGCTGGAGAAGATGGGAGGCTGCTTAGAAGAGGGTGCGAGGGAGGAAAATGTCTCTGGGGACCAGGAACAGGACGACACAAGTCAGGGATGGAAGACAGCCATGCTCGCTCCCCAGCAGGGAAACATGGCCCATCTGGTGGCATCAGACTGTTGTCCGCTAGCTGGTCCCAATCCTGGGTTTAGGCCTCAGTCACCCCCAAGAGCTCTGGTTCTGGTTCAGAGAATCTAAGTCCCAGAGCTTCCAAGTGCAGTGAGAACTTTCTGCTTGGTCCCCCGGGAGCCAGCTTTACTCTTCCTGGGAGCTTGAAAATGTACCAGACCTGTCACCCTGCTGGATGCTGGCCCAAAGTGACGGGAGAGGAAGAGGGAGGCCCAGGGGCTGGGCCGATGGTACCAAGAGGCGTTTCCAGGCCTCAACACGTTGTGTGGCCCCTTGTCTGTCTTCTTTAAATCATCCCCCCTCACACACACACACACACACACACACACACACACACATGCACTTTTCTGGGAGCCTGATCGTCACCTGCAGTCCAGAAATGACCTTCACAGGTACTATCCCGGGAATAGCCACGGCTGGCCCACCTGGGAGGGGAGCCCTTCCAGGCAGAAGCATGTGTAGTGCTTGGGGACTGAGTTCTCGGTAGATTTTGTGTCCAGTTACAGTGACGTGCTAATGGGAGGTGGAAGGGAGGAACAGAAGTTTCTAAGAGAGTAGAAGGTAC